AGCACTTATCAATCTTAGCAGCTGACTGAGCCCTCATCAAAAAGTTTTCACAGAAGCAAAAGGACCAACTTCTACCTACTGTATTGTATTATTAGATTTGAGAAAAAGCACCTAAAACTGACTTTACCGTTTCGAGAGAGACATGAAAGCACTCCAAAATGATACGTTCCCAGAAATCCACAGCCACTGAACGAGAGTGCCAGCTCGGAACCGCGCACTGCAACAAACCGTATCTGCATACAGTGAATGAAGTCTATGTGTGTGTGACTCAGTGAAATGGTACGATTTAGTTAGAAAACACTACCAAACAACAAATCCCCTTACTCCGTTAGCGAAATGGTAACAGTGCAACTAGCATAACAAAGAATCGGAGCGCCTAAAGCAGTCCCAGGAACAATGAACAAGCAATGCCGTGCTCAAGGAGTGACTATTTAACAAGATGCTCCCGCCCAGCTCATTCCCGACCGTCTTCATTTTTCATACACAGCGATATATGAAATCAGCCAAGAGAAATCGAAGATGCATTCTTGCTTCAGATGATTCAATCACCTTCCCCAGCTTCATCAGCCTGTTCATAATGCATTCCACTTTAACTGTAAGCCCAGGCTGCGGAGCACCAGGCTTATCAGTGCGATTATGCGTTTTTGTGCTAAAATTGTAGCAGTCGGGTCGTTAACTGCATGAATAGTTGTTGCTTTACGTTTAACTTGTGCATTCAATGCCGTAAATCACCGTAAATTCTGCATAAAGGAAGATGAAAAATTTCCACTGGCCATCATCCACTGAAAATGACCTAGCTACTCTGGTTCCTGAGTTAGCGATTTTCCCGGCAGAGATTTTACGTGCCTACTTGTGGGAACCATGCGAGATTCATCCACATGAGAATCACCTACGGGCTGAATTTGAAATCTCTAAAAGTTATACGTGGATAGAGAGCATCCCTTTCAAATCCTAGCTCCTCAGCCCCGATTTCTGGTTTAGCAATGTCCCCGCCGAAAATTTCACATGTTCATACGTAGGGTTCAGGCGTGCGTGAAAGTTGGTACAATGTTCCTGGGACAGCGCTTGGTCGAGGAACCCATTGGCAAAATTTCGGCATCAGAAACTGCAAGGTTGCTGAATTGAAATAACAGGACGAACACGCACACACACACACACACACACACACACACACA